CTTTGAATGAAGTACTTGGCTGTGACCGGACCAGTTGGAGCCCTGGGGCTCCCAGGGTTGTAGAAACCTTCTCATGAGACTGTAGCTCCAACTAGTTAAGTAGAGTGCAGATGACTGCTTAGAAATAGAGCCAATCAATCATCTCAGTTCTTCCTCTTGGGTTATTACTAGGATAGTTCCTAAAGGAGATACATTTGGGGATATCTGCCCAGCCCATGACTTTCTGCATCCAGAAACTGTTCCCTCACCCATAAGAACTAGCACTCTCCCTGCATGCGTGCTAGCACCTAGCACTTCACCTCTGTTCCACCATTGGTTGATCCGACCAGGAATGAGTACCTGACCCAAACTGGACCAATCGGAGTATTTTCCGAGAATAAGAAATTAAATGAAGAAGATGGCAACTTGGAGCTGTGCAGAACTGCATATGTCCATGAGTTCCCCAAAGCTGAAAAAGTAAAGTAACAAAGGGAAAAGATTAAGCAGACTATGGAAGAGAGGCTGAGCTTTAAAATGTAGGGTAGAAACTTTCTGATGTCTTGGTGGCTTCCTATTTCGGGTTCCAGGCCCTCATGAGGCTGTTTCCCTTAGCTTCTTGCAGGATATGCGGGATCTTTCAAACAAACTTTCCTTTTTTTGTGGTCCAAGTTAGTTGGAAGTATGTTTTGATTACTTAAAATCCAAAGAACCTAGCCTTAAAAAATTACCCTTTATGACCCAAATTCCTTAGGTTATTCAGTTTACTTTCTAGTATTTCTAGACTCATCTGTTTGCGAACTTCTTGTATCTTAAGGACACAAGGCCGTCCATCAGCCCTGATGATCTGTTTTATCTTCAGAATCAGCCAGCAAAGCAGGGGAAATAAGTATCTGCTAGTATTTTGCCGAGAAAGCCCTTACATTATCTCATCTCCGGCTGGGTATAATTGTGTCATTTAATAGCTTAACCATTTTCCCCTAAACTTCAGCCTGTGTTTGCCTTTATTTATCTGTTGCATCTTCTGATGAGCTTTCCTTCTTGGGTTCATGTCTGGATGTCTGTCTCAGTCAAAATTAGCTATATTTCGAATTTAGGCTAGGATGGGTTTTCCAAAGGGGCTGATGTTTCTCATTCTAAGGTAAAAGTAAAACCAGTGTCAACTTTACGCATAGGGTAGATGAGTATTTGAGAAGCAGACCCTTCAACTCCAAAGCTCTATAATACAAACAGGACTGAGCCCTTAGCACACAAGGGCTCACCTAAGATAAAGAATTTCCCATGGTGAGAGGGGTGGCCTTAGATCCCCAAATGTTTATGAAAAATATGGTGACCCAGGCACCTGGTGAATCAGACTCTCTAGGAATGGGGCTAGGGATCCTGAATCTTACATAATCTATCCAGTTAATTTTGATATGTGAAAACCATTGGCTATGAGCCCAAGTTACAATTTTCAAATCTAAACATAATTGTTAGACTGTGTTCTACAGTTCTCACTCTCTTCTTCAGTGTAGCAGTGGTATACATCTATCATAAAAATTAAAGTCAATTGAAGGACATTCCTTTATTGAAGACTGCCACTCCTGAAAAAAAAGTGAACCCACCCCAGATCCTCCAAAATTGGATTAGAAACCACTGGCTCAAGTCTCTGTTCAGACCAGTGGGCTTGCTAGGTTGTCCTGAAGCATCAGGGACTAGGAGATGTTTTTGTTTGTTTGTGATTGGGGCAAGAAGCAGACAAATGTCTATCTAGGCAGATAGGTGTGAGTCTCCAGTGAAACCACACCTTCAAGCTGGAAACAATCCTGGGTAAATCTTTGAACTGGATTGAGAACCCACCTTTCACTTGGTAAGCTTTCTTCTGATTTTTTTTTTTTTTTTTTTTTTTTGAGATGGCATCTTGCTCTGTTGCCCAGACTGGAGTGATCTCAGCTCACTGCAACCTCCACCTCCAGGTTTCAAGGGATTCTCCTGTCTTAGCCTCCAGAGTAGCTGGGATTACAAGCATGTGCCACCACACCTGGCTAATTTTTGTATATTTAGTAGAGATGAGATTTCGCCATGTTGGCCAGGCTGGTCTCGAACTCCTGACCTCAGGTTGTCCACCTGCCTTGGCCTCCCAAAGTGCTGGGATTACAGGCATGAGCCACCGTGCCTGGCCGCTTTCCTCTGATTGATTCCCCACCCTTCACCTATTTCACATATACCTACCCTTTCCTAACTGGTTTTCTACACTGTCATGCCCATCTTTGAGTGGTGCCTTCGCGTTAACTTTTTTTTTTTGCATACTCACAAACCAATCAGCATGCACTCCCTATTCTGAGCCCATACAAAACCTCAGATCCACTGAACCAGAACCTCTCTGAGGAGGACGAGGAGTTTTCAGTAAGTTCTGTGGGCATTTTTTATACATCGTAAAGATTCAGGCCTTCCTCAAATGTCTCTAAATCCTATTTAATGCTTACATTTAAAAAAGATAAGGGCATTCTTAGATTAGATATGGCTCAGTTATATTGAGAACTCTCCTGCCTTCGGGTACGGGGACCACCCCTGCGTCCCCTACCAGCTAAAAGCTGTTTCATTACTCAGTCGAACTTCTTGCCTCACTGACTCTTCGAGTGTCTGAATGCCTAATCCTTCTGATGGTGAGACAAGAACCGGGGCCTATGATATGGAGCAAAAATCCCGTATCATTTGTTTATTTGTTTGAGAGACTTGGAAGAAAACAAGAAATACCAAGGCAGAATTTCTTGAGCTGTGATTCTCAAACCACCTAGATCATAAAGATATAAAGGGCCTTGCTATAAAAGCAGATTCTGGGGCTCTACCTCAGATCCACTGAGCCAGATAGTGGTAAAAAATTCAGGCCTTCCTTGAATGTCTCTAAATCCTATCATTAAATAGGATTTATATTTAAAAAAGATAAGAGCATTCTTAGTTTAGTTACAGCCTCTCTCTTTGGGTAGAAGAGAAATAGTAATAGCAATAGCTAATGTGTTTTGAGCTCATATAATGACAGTTAGCACTAATGGCTTTACACGTATTATTTCAGCAAATCCACACAATAACCCAATAATGACTCTTCTGTTATTATCTCATTTAATAAATTAAGAATTGAGGCTCAAAGAGGATACAGACATTTCCCAAGATCAACAACTAGCAAGTGGTTGAGGTGAGATTTAAAATGTTAAAGGAACATGGGGCCAAAATAAAAGGTGCAAAACTGGTATTTAGTGCATATGGCATCCTTCATATGTTTTAATTGGGATTGCAAGGGAAGGGTAAGACTACTTACTGTTGCCGAGGTCTTGCCTAGTTTAAGTTTGTAAGCTCCTTTAAGGTAGGGATTTTTGTTTGTTTTGCATATTATTGTATTCCAAGCACCTAGAAGGGTTCCTGGCATGGAGGAAGCCTTTGACAAATATTTGTTGAATGAATGAATAGATGATATTGTAGCATCCAGCAACTCCCTAATGTTGTGGATCAGACATGGGGAAATTGAATTTACGTGCTGCCGTCGTCCTGGCTCCCAGTCAACGTTAATGCTACCCTAATCAGAACACAGACATGGATATAATTCTCCAGACAGACCATCTATTACTTGCTTAAAAGCAAACACAAATATTTTTGGGTCATCTGCTGGTTTCAATTCTTAATAATAACTGAAAATTAAGTGTGTGGCTTGGGTAGGAATCAGTTTCAAGAGTCCTCAAAGAACAAAGATTCCAAGAAGGCAATGCATTGAAACCAGTGGTTCTCCACAAGAGGCAATTCTGCCCTCAGGAGACATTGGCAATGTGTGGAGACATTTTTTCATTGTGGTTAAATAAACAATATAAAATTTACTATCGTAACCACTTTTAAGTTTTTTAGTTCAGTCGTATTAAGTTCATCTACATTGTTCTGCAACCCATCTCCAGAACTCTTCATCTTGCCAAAATGAAACTCTATACACATTAAATAATAACTCCCCATTCCCTCCTCCCTTCAGCCCCTGACAACCCAGTGACTCTTCTATCTTCTGTCTCTATGAATTTGACTCTAGGTGCTTCAGATAAATGGAATCATACACTTGCCTATTGTAGCGTGTGTTAGAATTTCCTTCCTTTTTAAGGCTGAATAATATTCCATTGTATGTATACACCACACCTTGTTTACACATTCATCCATCAGTGGACATTTGGGTTGCTCGCACTTTTTGGATATTGTGAATGCTGTTGCTATGAATATGGGTGTACAAATATATACATATATATATATTTGAGACAGAGTTTCAAAAGGCTGGAGTGCAATGGCACCATCTTGGTTCACTGCAACCTCTGCCTCCTGGGTTCAAATGATTCTTCTGCCTCAGCCTCTTGAGTAGCTGGGATGACAGGCACCTGCCACCATGCCTAGCTAATTTTTGTATTTTTAGTAGAGACGGCATTTCACCATGTTGGCCAGGCTGGTCTTGAACTCCTGACTTCATGATTCACCCACCTTGGCCCCCCAAAGTGCTGGGATTACAGGCGTGAGCCACCCTGCCTGGCCACAAATATCTGAGACCCTGCTATCTTTTGCATATAGCCCAGAAGTAGCATATGGTAGTAATTTTATTTTTAATTTTTTTGAGGAACTGCCCTGTTTTCCACAGCACTGCATGATTTTACATTCCCACCGACAGTGTACAAGGGTTCTTCACCCACACTTGTTATTATTTTTAATAGTTGCCATCCTAATGGGTGTGATGGGAGACATTTTTAGTTGTTGCAGTTTCCAGGGGCTGCTACTGGCGCCTAGTGACCAGAGGTCAGCGGTGTTGCAAAACATTCTATAATGCACAGGACAGCCCTCTGCAACCAAGAATTAACTAGCACAAGATGTCAACATTGCCGAGGTTTAGAAACCCCGATTTAAACAATCAGGTTCATCTTTCACAGTAAAACTCATCACTCCATGCCTGTGTCCTTTCTTTTCTTTGTTGAAATGCTCGAAGGCAGAGACCACCCCTAAAATCTGGAAAGCGAGGGAGGACTGAGAAGAATGGCAACATTTCTTTTATTCAAATTTTATTGGAAGTTTACAAATGTATTACAGACATCAGTAAAACATCATATCCATTTTACAGGGCACGGATCTCAAGCAAAGTGTTCAGAACAGTCTCTGGCAGAGCCCACACCAAAGGCCTGTAGCAGACCTTCTTCACAAATAGCTGGACACTCAACACGGAACACAGACTCTGGCCTGCCTCGCCTTCCCAGGCCCTTTGAGGTTTTGTTTATGCACTTGAAATGAAAGCTGGAGATGGGCAAAGCAATCCTGTGGAGGAAAGAATGAGTTTAGGAGAGGAAAGCCTGCCGAAGTCCTGATTTGCTGAAAAAAAAAAAATTAATTAAAAAAAAATGAAGGACTCATTGTCCTTAGAATGTCAAGTCAGGGTCCATAATAGAATCGTAACACTTTATGGAAAGGTACGAAAATCTATTAGGTAGGTTTGAGAACAGACCTTATTGGTAAGTAACTCTCTCTGAAAATTTCAGAAAAGCTTGGTCAGAGACCTGTTGAACATCAATGTCCAAATGCCGAGCAGAGTGAAGGGATATCTCAGAGAACTCTCAGAATAGAACAAGACGATTTTTCTCTATCCTATTGATTCATCATATTCAAAGCACAGAAATGTTTTCCTAACACTACGTGACTTTCCCCTCCTTTATATTCCCTTGAGGAAAGCTAGTTTTGTCAGCAGAAAGAGAGCTTATAAAATAATATGGCTCCCAACAGTGAGTCATGTTTCATGGGAGTCTTGTGTTGACTAGGCTACTACTATGAGACAATGGAAAAAGAATCCAATTTTTTCTTCATCTTAACCTTGAAGACTACTTCCAAATGGTCCTACAAATTAGCTCTGGTATCTGCTGAGGCCCCAGAGGGACAAACCACTGGAGACAAGGCAAAGGCCGTTTCCACTTCTCTTGTGCTTAAAGAAATGTACCTCAAAAGGTGGTGATCTGAAACTGCCTTCAAAAACTGGCAGTGGAGGCTGGGCTACTGAGTCCTGCATAAGCAATGCTGTCTGAAGAGCCCATTTTAAAGCCCTGAAGGTGCAAAACAGTTGCTAATAGCAACTGTCCTGGCATGAAGTATTCAGATAACTGGTTCAGTTTTCCACTTCCCTTTGTCATGGGTGGATCTTCCTTCTTAGGCTTAAGCATCTGTTTTCTGTTAGAAATACACAAAGAGCACTTCTCCTTGGAATTTAAATATATATATATATATATATATATATATATATATTTGTTAGAGGGTGGGATTAGATGAAGAATAAGATGAAGTCTTACCTGACCTCTGCAAAATGAAGACTGTCTATAGTAATTGGTAGAGAACATGAAAATGGCATAGGAGGTGAATGAGATTTGTTGTCTTTTAGCCTAAGAAGTCAGCTTCCTCCAGCCTCCACAACCTGGGGTGGGTGGGTGGTGGTGGTCGTGGTGGGGCAGGTGAATTGGAGTCTCTGAATTATTTATAAATATTGCTTCCTAAATGTTCCCAATTATGCTTCCTAAAATGTTTTTGTTCCAAGGCAAGAGAACCAAGGGTTGAAAGACAGATATAAATCAGTTTACAAATAAGATTTGTCATCAGACCAATAAGCTTAGTTCTGATCATCTCTGGTCCTGGCTGGTTGGAGTGTTGCAAAGATTTCTCAGGCTGCATCCACATTCTCAGCGAGAGTATACAGTGATGCATTGGTTATATCTGCTCAGCTTGTGGGGAGCGCAGAGCAAGTGCCACATATATGTCATCACGGGCCCCACCTGAACTCAACAGTAGCTAGTGGTACCCAAGAAGCAAAAAGCTGCAGCAGAAGGAAGAAAAAATGTTGTTATAGTGCAGGAGCATCCTACAGGAAACAAGGATTATGAAGCACTGCTTCCAGATCCTGTATTAGGAACATAAAATTGCTCATTCGCTCAGCTGGTTGGGATTAGAAAGCAAGGACTGAAAAATAAAAGGGGAAAGTGGAAAGAAGGTGTCAAACAACCAACAGCAGGACTTCTTCCTCGGACGTATGAAAAACCAGGAAACATGGTTCTGCTCTCCCTTAGCACATTCACCTTCACACTTGGTAGAGATCCTACAACTGTATGACGGAAGGAAAGGTCCCTGAATACCATGCTCAATGCCACCTGGCTGCCAAGAAGCCTTTTCACAGTACCAAGGGTGGTATGGATTGGCACAGCCACTCAGGAAACTGTCAATGACTTACACTTCCTGGGCCTGGGAACAAGCCAGCTATGTTGCTACTGAACTGAGCAGCAATAGGAAATGAACTGAACTCTGAAGTTGCAGTTGTAACCAAAAGACAGGAAGATCAATATTAGGGGTGGGAAAAAGAAGAACCAGGGAGAAGAGAGAACACTGGGAAAAGATTACTCTTCTGGAAACCAGTCTGAAGAGTAATCTTCCTCTTAGACCATAATTCCATCTTCAATTACGGAATCGAAGATGGAATTATGGTCTAAGAGGAAGTGAGTACAGGCCCCATTCACAGGAGGAACCTGGCCGATAAGAGTTAAAGGTTGTGATGGAGGAATTAGGGGAGGACCCTAAGTTGTTGCCTCAGGAAAGAACGCACTGGGAATGGGATTCTGGGATGTGACGTGTGAGCTATCACTAGCAGGTGGAACTCCAATACAATGATGTCCTGCCCTCAACAGGGCATTCACTTGGAGGTTCTGCCATCATTGGAAGAAACTGGCCTTCCTCATTCAGCATTCTCTGTAAGATGCCTGGCTGCATTTGGGTAAGAAGAAATCTGCAGTGGTAGAATAGAGGGAGGTCATCTTGCTAGTAGACGGTTTGACCCTGAAGCTTGAATCTCATTACATCCCAAGTTCTGAGTTCAGTCCCTGGATGCTTTCTGGGCATCTAGACTAATGCCTCCAGACCCCTTTGGGCACTGGTCATGTGGCAGTTTCTAGGCCACCTTCTTTCTGCTGATGGTGGTTGAAGCCTTCTTTGAGAAATGTAAGAGGTATTCTGAGAAAAACAGTTAGGAAGCAACTTCTACTGGGAGAATTTCTTTCACTGGCTTTGGGGCCACAGAGGACAGACATGTTTTCAGCCGTTTGCTAAGTTAAGTTGATCTACTTTTCCCCTTCTCTTTTCTTTTTCCCAAACTGCCTTTTTTAGTTTCATCAATCAAGGAACTTAAAACTCCAAATTGGACTCGCCCGATTTCTACCAGAAACCTGCCACTTTAGTAGCACGGTGTTGCAAATTATTTCTTAATCAGTTTGCCAAGCAGTTTACAAACTTACTATACAAACGTAATAGAGTTAATTCTCCGGAGGCTCGGATAATTAATGAAGCATTTAGATATGAAGATAGCATGCGGAAAACAGCCACAACCAACATGTGCATTGCTTTTTTAAAAAAAAATCAGTGACAATGACAAATGTCATATTAATACCTGAAAAGCAAATTATTTTAATACATCCCTAATGGAGTGCCATTGCCATGTCCTTTACAACCTTCCTTTCCTCAGACCCATCTAGGATGGTGTCTGAAATGCCGCTTTTGACGTACTCTCCATAAGAAATACTAGAAAATGTTAACTACTATACTGAAAAGAGATCACGCTCACCTCACCATGGCAGATGGCCACTGAGATACACCGGGCACTACATCGACAGTACATCTCACTACAGGTGGGTCCTCCGATGGATTATTTCAACTGCCACAATCCATTAAGGGGAGGAGGAGGATGGAAGAAAGAAACCAAGTGCTTCATTTTTAACTGAAGCAAGGTAGGGAGTTTTATTTTACTATAAACAGCACAACCGTTAAATGTCTTCATTAAGCAAACTCACTTTTGAGCCCATTTTCTGTCTGACCAACAGTCCTCAAAGTTCAAAATGGAAGTCCCCTCCCAACAAAGTCTGATTTTTAAAGCCATTGCACCACTGAAATCTCAGTAGCTCAACCTTCCTGGGTAACCCAGATACTCTGGTTACTGAGCTGGTTACACTGGATTCTTTCTACATGCACTGGGAGCTCTTCAAGGTGGTTGTCACCTGTCCTCTGTTTCACTTCCAGTTCTTCTTTTCCCTCACCTGTCTTCAGATTCTCCTTTAACTTCTACCCTTGACCTGCTTTCTGTTTTCAAACTGCCTTTCTCCTTCTCCAGGCATGACATGCTACACACCGTTCCTCCCAGAGCCCCCTCAGAATCCTTCCGTCCCTCAATCCCAAATGCGTAAGTTCATTTGCTTTGAGGACACCGGTTGTCAGGCTAAGGCAGCAGTTCTGTCTGCCTTGGTAAAGGAAAGCAGATAATACAATCCAGGAAACATGAGCACCAGAACATAATGCCACACTCAAAACAACGTCATGCTGACATCACACAACAGCACCACTCACAGTCACTTTTACTTTCCCCAAGGGATAGATCAACATTAAGTAACTTTAACATTCCCAGCAGGGATGGCATTTCTCACAGAACTTTACTGACACTGGTTGGTTTCTCTAATTGGCAAAAATTACATTTGCAATTAAAAAAAAAATTACTACCACTTTGTAGAAAGTAAATTCTACTGAGCGTGGGAACAGACTTAAGGATAGCTCCTTAAGATGGAATGGAGCATAAAAAGCTTTGGGTCTAATTATGATTATTATTTTTTAGCCACAAAAAGCCAAATTGAATATATTCCTTTGAAAAAGATCTCACTGACATGTAACAAATTTGTATAGAAAAAAAAAAAAAAAAAAAAAAAGGCGGTACCGGGCCACCTTTTAATACTACTCAAAGACAACGGTGAATGTGCATGCAAGTCCCCACTGAGTCCTACGATATAGAAATTCCTTTGATATTACAAAATACAAAAATATTTTATCAGAACTCTCATTTACATTGCATTTACAATGGACATGTAAATAACTTAGTCTTGGGTCCTGGCTAATAAACAAATTACTTACTGAAAAAAGGGTCCTAAAAGTAAGAGAACTAGAGAGGATAAAAGCGAGCGGGAGACAATTTGCCATCTTGTGAGACGGCAACTCAACACAGAACTGATGGGAAGGAAGTGACCAACCCTGGCCTCGATAGAGTCTACTGTGTTTCCAAAGTGAAATGTGCAAATAATATTCAACATGCCAAGAACGTGACTACCTATTGAGTCAATCTGTAACCTTGCCTCCATCCACTGACAGCATTTTCCCTTTTCTCCCCCATAAGCCACCCCCAAAAGCGCTTTAACATTTAAAACAGTGCAAGTTTCTGAATTTACATTCTTAGCTCCCAACTTCTCCCATTCCCTGATCCCAATCGTATTAAGAAATGATACAGTTTTTGCTCTTCTGTCTTTTCCTGCTGTGCAACTGTCCTCTGCCACCTAACGTGGAAGATTTGGGGAGGCCGTAGGAGCTGTATTTGTGCAGCAGCTCATCGCTCGTCACGTATCGCAGGCGCGCTGGCTGGGGGATGGGTTCTCCTAGGAAATAGCCCTCGTTGTCAGACTCTGAAGAGGAGGAGCAGGTGGAACACCAATCATACTCGGCAAAGTAGGGTCCCCATCGGTCCCCAAAGGCATTCTGCAAAGCCAGGTCCGACACAGTCCGCGGGCACTGGCCGTACAGGTCCCTCCGGGACCCATGCCCCATGCTCTCCTGGAAGCTCCGCTGGCGCATGAATTGGTCATAGTCCTCCCTGGCTCTCAGAGGGGGCCTATCTTTTAACCGAGAGATGGCCTCGCGTTCGCTGGCCAGGTGGAGGGCGTTGTCCGAGCGAGAGCGTCGGGAACGCCTGGACCTGTGAGGTCGGAAACGGCGGTTGTCGTCGCGCGAAGTAGCTCTTCTCCGGGTGCGTTCGCTCATGGGCTGGATCCTCACGCCCTCCTGCCCTGGCAGCTTGCTGCCCGGCATCCCTCCGTCGAAATCAAAGCTCTGATGCATCCTTCCGTGGGACTGCAGGTCTCTGTAGCCGATGGGGTTGCTGAGCTGGTGGAGGTTTCCCTCCATCTCCTGGTACTGCTGGGCAGAGAGTAGGCTGCGAACCGACTCTGCGCTCCGAAACTGCATGGACGAGTTAAGAGTGCCCATGTTGCTCAGCTTCTCAGACACATTCATTCCAGAGTCTTTGCTGAGGTCAGGCATGGAAAATCGGGAGAGGTGCTCCTGGCGCTTGGCACCACCATCGGCAGAGAGACCTGGGGGAGAGAGGAGGGGACCACTGAGATTAATACAAAAGTGCAGCAATGGGGATCACTGTCACTGCTGGTCATCTACCCAGGGTCATTACATACTGTTGTGCAGTTGTGTACTGTACAAGGGCTCTCTCAGGGCACATGTGCTTGTGAGGGGGCTCTCTCCACTCCACAGCAGAGCACTATCTACCTAGAGGGGGCACTTGCTTAAAATGCATCCGGAGATGTATTTTACCAGTTACTAATTCCTCCAAAGGCTCATCAAAGTTACTAAGAGCCCACTGTGCATCTTATGCATCATGCTTCCTCTATTTAGAGTTTCACTTTGCAAAGCACATTAATTACGTTTTTGATTCTAATGATGCACTCACTCTAAGCTCTGTAGGACAGATTTTTTGGATGAGGAAACTTTAAGCTATAGAGGCTGGAAAATGCCCAGGCTGTTTCTGGCAACCCTGAACACTGGTTCCACAATACTGGACCAGTTCACTTCTCTGTTAGCCTGCAGCAGTTTCCTGCTTTGCCTGCTGTCCCTAAGTGGCAGGTGGCTTCCTACCTAAAGTGTCTTGGATACTAAGAAACTCCCTAGGTATAGATGGAGAAATATTTACTCTCTCAGACCATTCAGTGAATGCTCTAGGGTAAATGGGTCCCTAGCAGCCAGAAGATGTGAGTGGGACCCCAGTGTACCCCTCTGTCTCATGAGGAGGGACGTTTAAGAGTAAAGCAGTGGCTCTGACGCTATGTAACAGCAGGTGCCCCGGCAATGGATCTCCATTTCCTAAGTGCTGTCAAATGATCTCCTGGCATCCCAGAGACAGAAACCATTTTGAAGGTAGTGAGAGATACTGACTTCAGTAACTTCCATTTTGCTCATCTTCAAGCAAAGCTCTCAAGGAGATGTTTAAGAATGGGCCAGGTGACGAAGTTTCAGCATTTTCCACTCATTATACATTGCAAGGATCAGCAATTTTGCCATTTCTGGTCATAGACAATATGTCTTTGAATTGCAATGGTCCATTATTGCCTCTGCCACTGATTATTCCTGCTCCTACTGGGGCCTCCAGCTTCCTCTTCCCCGACAAAACCTAAAGCCATGTTATGAGCCATGTTATTTGTAAAATTACTTGGCAATATCTATTAAAGCTAAATGTAAATACGCATACATGTATATGAATTATGAAGCTGCTCTGAATATCCTCATCCATTTTTTGTGGACTTATCCATTTCTGTTGGGTGTATGGCTGAGAGTAGAAACCCTGCACAATTCACCATCTTCACTCTTGGTTTTATAATGAACAGAAGTTAGTAAGAAGGTCCAAGAAATGGACAAGGGTATTCAGAGAAGCTTTCTTGTAAGAGCCCTGAAATGAAAAAAACTCAAATGTCAAATATCAGGAAAATGGAAAATACATTGTGGTTTTTCTGTCATTCCCCACTAAAGGCACCCAGGCTTTTTAGAAAAGTGGCCAACTCCAGGATAAAGGTAAGGACATTAAAAGAAACAGCATCTTGTTACGCCATAAGGAAAGAATTAAAAATAAGATAAGGTGGGGGTTTGTCAGAACACAGGGCCTAACTTGAAGGGGCCCCCACTGGCCAAATCTGAATAATTTGAGCATTAAAATCCTTAAGGGAAGTAATGATTTTTAAACTGCCAAAACAAATAAGAATTCCCGAATGCTGGGAAGATGGCCGCCTAAGAACAGCTCAGGACTTCAGCTCCCAGTGAAAGTGCAGAGGGTGAGTGGATGCCGCATTTCCAGATGAATTTTTATTGCCCACAGACCAGGAGATACCCAGGCAGAGGGGTCGCCAGCGCTGCAGTCCCGGCCGGTGCGGCTGTTTTGGCTCCCGCGGGGGGCCTGCGCGGCTGCTGTGACCACGCCCTGTCGCGGCAGTTCTCCGTACAAAAGCCACTGGTCTGGGAGCCTCTTAGCTGGCGATCGGAGCCCTGAGACGGCAGAGTTGCCCATTCATCTGAAATAGCGAGCCAGGCCAGGAGATTCCTAGGCAAAAAATCCGCCAGGAGCCGGCTCTGGTGTTTGAGCCGACTCAGTGAGTCGCAGCACAGGAGATCCCCACGCCTTTTCAACGAGTGACTGGAACGCGGGGTCGTTCAACTTAAAAGACTCTGAGTCAGGGAGCCAGGTGATCAGGCTCGGTTGGTCCCACCCCCACCCCAAACAACAAGGAAAACAAAAACAGTAATTGGAAACCCTCTGGGTTGAGCCCTTCAAATCAAGCACAGCTGAACCTGGGATGATCCGGCTTGGTGGGGGAGGGGTGTCCGCCATTACTGAGACTCTCCACCACTAGGGAGGCAGGCCACCATCGCAGAGGCAACCCGCTGTTGCCGATGCAACCTGCCACAACAGAGAGAGTCTGCCATAACAGAGGCGGGGCCACCGTTGCTGAGACAGTTCTAACTATGCCCATATAAACAGGACTGCAGGGAAGAGCACAGGGCAGCTGGGCGGAGCCCACAGCAGCTCAGCAAAGCCTCTGCAGGCAGAGAGTGGCTAGGCGTGCTGCTATCTGGGTGAGTCAGACCTGAAAGAAAAATCAAAAAAGGCAGTAGTACAAGGGAAACTCATAAAGCCCCAACCCCCGCCCCGGGACAGAGCACCTGGGAACAAAAAGTGCTTTATGAGTTCAGCTGCAGCAGACCTAAATGTACCTGCCCAGCAGCTCTGAACGAACAACGGAGCTCACAACTCAGGACTTAAGCCCCAATAAAAGATAGACTGTCTCCACAAGTAGCTCCCTGACCCCCATAGATCCAAAGAATCGCCTCATAAAGGAGAGAATGGACTGACAGTAGGCGAGCATCCTTCTGGGACAAAGATAGTGGAAGAGGAAACTGGTAGCAACCCTTATTGTTCTGCAGCTGCTGCACGTGATCCCCAGGCAAGCAGGGCCTGGAGAGGACCTCAGCAATCCTACAGCAGAGGGGCCAGACTGCTAGAAGGAAAGCTTAAAAAAGAAAAGAAAAGAAAAAAAAAAGAAGTAACTTCAGCATCCACGAACTAGAAGCTCACTCAGAGACCTAATCTGAAAGACAGTAACTACAAAGACAACAGGTGGATAAACCCACAAAAATGGGAAGAAACCAGCGCAAAAAGGATGAAAACTCCCGAAACCAGAACACCTCTCCTCCTAAAAGGGATCACAACTCCTCACCAGCAAGGGAACCAGACTGGATGGAGAAGGAGGGTGATGAAATGACAGAATCAGACTTCAGAAGGTGGGTAGTAAGAAACTACAGTGAGCTAAAAGAACATGTTCTAACCCAACGCAAAGAAACTAGGAACCTTGAAAAATGATTGGATGAAATGCTAACGAGAATGGATAGCATAGAGAGGAATATAAGTGAATTGATGGAGCTGAAAAACACAACACGAGAACTTCGTGAAGCATGCACAAGCTTCAACAGCCGAATTGACCAAGCAGAAGAAAGGATATCAGAGGTCGAAGATCAACTCAATGAAATAAAAAGAGTAGGCAAGAACAGAGAAAAATGCACAAAAAGGAATGAACAAAATCTTCAAGAAATGTGGGACTATGTGAAAAGACCTAATCTACGTTTGATAGGGGTACCTGAATGTGATGAAGAGAATGAATCCAAGCTTGAAAATACTCTTCAGGATATTATCCAGGAAAACTTCCCCAACCTAGCAAGGCAGACCAATATTCAAATACAGGAAATACAGAGAACACCACAAAGATATTCCTCAAGAAGAGCAATCCCAAGGCACATAATCATCAGATTCACCAGGGTTGAAATGAAAGAGAAAATGCTAAGGGCAGCCAGAGAGAAAGGTCGGGTTGCCCACAAAGGGAAGCCCATTAGACTCACAGCAGATCTCTCAGCAGAAACCCTACAAACCAGAAGAGATTGGGGGCCAATATTCAACATCCTTAAAGAAAAGAACTTTCAACCCAGAATCTCCTATCCAGCCAAACTAAGCTTCATAAGTGAAGGAAAAATAAAATCCTTTGCGAACAAGCAAGCACTCAGAGATTTCATCACCACCAAACCTGCTTTACAAGAACTCCTGAAAGAGGCTCTACATATATAAAGGAACAACCAGTACCACCCACTCCAAAAACACACCAAATGGTAAAAGAGCATCAACACAATCAAGAATCTGCATCAACTAACCAACAAAACAGCCAGGTAGCGTCAAAACGACAGCATCAAATTCACACATAACAATACTATCCCTAAATGTCAATGGACTAAATGCCCCAATCAAAAGACACAGACTGGCAAATTGGATAAAAAGCCAAAACCCATCAGTGTGCTGTTTCCAGGAAACCCATCTCACATGCAAGGATACACAAAGGCTCAAAATAAAGGGATGGAGGAAGATCTACCAAGCAAATGGAGAGCAAAAAAAAAAAGCAAGAGTTGCAATTCTCATCTCTGATAAAATAGACTTTAAAGCAACAAAGATCAAAAGAGACAAAGAAGGACATTACATAATGGTAAAAGGATCACTGCAACAAGAAGAGCTAACGATCCTAAATATATACGCACCCAATACAGGAGCACCCAGATACATAAGGCAAGTTCTTAATGACTTACAAAGAGACTTAGACTCCCACACAATAATAGTGGGAGACTTTAACACCCCATTGTCAATATTAGACAGATCAACCAGACAGAAAATCAACAAGGATATCCAGGACCTGAACTCAGACCTGGAACAAGCAAACCTAATAGACATTTACAGAACTCTCCACCCCAAATCCACAGAATATACATTCTTCTCAGCACCACATCACACCTACTCTAAAATCGACCACATAATTGGCAATAAATCACTCCTCAGCAAATGCAAAAGAACGGAAATCATAACAAACAGTCTCTCAGACCACAGTGCAATCGAGTTAGAACTCAAAATGCAGAAACTAACTCAGAACCGCACAGCTTCATGGAAACTGAACAACTTGCTCTTGAATGTTGACTGGATAAACAATGAAATGAAGGCAGAAAT